TCTTAGACTCTTTGCCTTTTCTGAAAGTTAAAAATACACATTTTTGTAAAGTTTAACTGAAAATACACACAAACACCTTTCCAACCTTCTAGCAAGCAAGGAAAAAAAAAAAAGAATTGCAAGGTGGTGAAAAAATATACAAGGAAAATATTTCTTTTTCAGTAATAGCTTTCAACATACAATTTGTATATATTACTTGGTCTAGATTAGCGTTTTTAAACTGTGTTCAGTAGAGCTCAGACATATTTGAGAATTGAAAAACAACCACTAAAAGTCTTTTCTATGAAAGTTCACAGAAAATATGAGCTTTAGAGTGCTATAGTCTTAAAAATCTTAATATCTTTTCCTTCTAGTATTTTTGTGAAAGTGGATTTCAGTACAGTATTTATTCCGCTAAAGATTAAATATTGAAATAGGCTGAATGTTACACCAAGACTTCTTAAAAACAAATCTTTTTCAGATATTGATGCAATATATTGTCACGTGCAAACTCATACAATACACTGATTAGTGTATGGAAAATATAGGAAAATATTAACTATTCTAATATTGTGTTTATTTCCTTTTTTTAAAAAGTTATAGAGCTTTCCCAACTAAAGTGTTCTCCACCTATCTTTGAGTCAACAGAAAACACTACTAGCCTAAAATTTGCTGTCCCTGTTGCCAGTGCTTTTCCTGTTTCTGCCATTCCCAGTCCCTGTTGGCCATCTGACTTTCCTCCAAGGAAATAGGTGACAAAACCTATTACACACCTTGGGAATGTCCTTGGACAGTGTTAAATATAGCTTTAGTACTGGTGCAGTTGATGAAGAGGCTGTTTCAACTACTGCTGGGGACATAAAGAAGGAAACTTCATGTGACATGGCAGAAAAACAATATTGCTAGGGAATGTTTCTGCCATGATTAGGTACAAAGGGAGAAAGGCCCTCAGACCGGTTTAAAATTGCAGTTTTATTCTTTTAATAACCTCACATTAGGGGACATACAATTCCTCATTAAAAAAAAAGTTATTATCCTTGAATAATGTAAGAAGCACCCATATAGATAAATAGCACACTCTGGCTAGATTTAAAAAATTTATTTAAAAATCTATTTAAAAAATATTCTAATGTGTGTCTCTCAGCCATAAAATGCACTTTTTTGTCCCTATTCTCCATGTATATATACTTATCTCATTTATACAAAACAACTGCATGTTGACTTTGAGTCTGGTTGCATCCTTGTCACAGAACAAATTCTGTGGAAGATGGGCGAAGTAGCTCTGCAGATGGCAATTTATGAATGAATTAAACAGTGAGAGTTCCTATTTGTAGTATTTTTTGAAAAACAGTTTCCAGCATGGAATAAGTATCCATGTGTGATGTAATAGCTGTACATAAATCCAAGCCAATTAGAATGAATAATTACTACAGATGGCATATTAAATTAATATTATCATATTAGAAAAAAACCTTTATTGCAGTTCAGTAAAGTAAGCTATATCTGTACAGTGTTTAAAATTACAAATTACAATTAGAAAAGGAATAAAATACTTGCAGTTTCTGTTCTATAAAAATGACTCACTTAAAAACGTGCCAAAATTTCTTCACATTTTATTAAAATGACTGCTGCATTTTGAGGGAAGTAAAAAATCCTAAAAGGAACTTCAAAGATGAAAATTAAAAGCATGTAACTTTAAAGATTTTGTCAACTTTCCAGACACACTTAACTATGACAATGAAAATCCTAAAAGGCCCCAAAGAACTTCATTCTTGTAGAGATCAACAGCAAATATATTGTCTATATTGTCAGAAATATATACTGCACAAGCACAAAATAAGTTCTGAAGTACTAGTCTGAAACTTAAAATTCTTCACAATGGAAAATTATAACTCTTCTAGATAGAAACATGATTTAAAAATTTATGTGCTAGTATAGAAGAAAATTCCACTGAAAGGAATAGGCCACAACTGCATCGTTACTAAATTAAAGAACAAAACAAAACACTACTCCTAGTAATATGGTGAATTTCTATTCTGACGAACAAACAAATGGTATAGTTGGCCATCAAATAAATACAATGCAGTCCTTGTTGTTCTCTTATAAACATATGAAAGTATTTGAATGACATAGCTTAAAGGAGGAATTCTGTTAACTGTTATGTTTTAACAAGAATATTTCTAGCTGCTGAAACAGTGTTCTATGAGAATTAGATCATCAGTGCCATGTTGAGAATTGAGCATTTCCCTAGTTTTGCAAGAATATATCATTTTGTGTGCAGAGTTTAAATTTGAGTAGTGTTTTTTGTGCCTTTTGTTTAGAATAAAAGAATAATAACTGAACTGCATTGATATTGCCTCTATAATTAAGATATTTTGTTGGGAAATGAGTATCTGCTATGTTTTAATCTCAAGAGGCACAGTTGCATTAGTGAGGAAGTGATATCATAGAAGCATGCTGGAGCTTTTTTTACTCTCTGTTCAGAAGTGCAATTGCATGCAATGTTTGAAATACCTTTCTGAATTTATCACTATATATGTACCATATTGCACACTTTTTGAAACATTTCCTCAGATTCAAGAGGCCTGTTATGCACTGCAAAATTATGGGAGATAGGGCTGATCCTGGAAGACAACAAATCTACAGCTTATGTTCCCAGAACCAGTGTCATGATTCTTAGATAAATCATGCTTGACAAATTAATGTTACCTCAAGCTCTTTTACCAGAAGCAATTTATCCCACTGCATACTGGGCCCAGGAATCAGCTAAAAAAGAGGTTCCTTGTTTGTAGTGGGAAGAAATGTAATAGCTTTAAATACCATATGCTTTAAAGATACTAGAGCAGCACCAAGAATCCTTCAACTGTAAGAGAGTGATTTTGCATCCTTGCATAATGCAAACAACAACAAATATAGTACAACTTCCCATTATTTTCTCTATAAATGCTGGTGATAAGTGTGATTAAGCCATGTGTGATGTACATTCATACAATTCTTTAGTCACGCCCTGCATTAGCTACTATTGTGCAAATCTTATATTAAATTGGTATCTAACAGAAGACATTCTATTACAAAAAAGTTTAAGGAACATGGAGTTTTAGAAGAAAGTGCCTAAAGGAATCATGTAACAGGTATTTTTATCTTCACAAGTTTTGTGTGCAGTTAGCTAACATTTTTCCTGATAAAATTTGAAAAAAGAGAGTATGTTTAGGTGAACACACAGATAGATCTATATGCAACCAAGATCAGATGAGTACACTACAATAAATAAAATAAGGAAAATGGTGCATCTTTGAGGGTCAAGCATATTCTTATTAGGATAAGAGTAAATAGAATAAAAATGAAGTGTAAGTAGGCAATAATAAACACTTTTCAAGGTAATAATGAAAAACACAAGGTAAGTAAAAATAGTAAAATTTAATACATGTGCTGTATTTTAAGTTACTGGAATAAAAATGACCACAAAATGTAGGAATTAAAGAATAATGCTACTTTAAGAAACTGACAACTGAATACTCCTTTTTCACAGCTCCATATGTTAAAGCCTAATGTTCATACAGAGAAGGCCTCTTACTACAGTACAGAGATTTCAACCCTTGTCCTATGTATCTCAGTATTCCCTCTATTAGGTATGCATCTTCTAAGGATTTTAAAATTCTCAGCTAATAAAAACAGTTGTTTCTAGGCATTCACTAGATTTTTTTTTCTGATTGGAATTTTACTATTTATAAGAATCCACATCTGAACTTTATGAGGATAGGCTAATATTTTTTACACAATGTTCACAAGCATCCAAGAAATCCTGCATTTAACAAAGCAAAAGAATTAGAACATGACATTCGGCATTTGGAAATAAAATTTTTGTTATCTTCTGCCTACAAAGTAGGGTTAACAAAGATCTGAAAACTTTTACATGGCATTAGGTTGAGTAACAGCATAAATAAGTCACAGTAATACTGACCTCACTCACACTCATCCCAAATATTTGACCAGAAGATGTGCTTATAATGCTGTAATAAAATTGTGCCAGTATTATGTGAAACTTTGTTCTATGTGACTCTGCATATTCGTATGCTATTCCAGCAAGTCTCATATTATTACACTGTTAGTCATTACGTAGGGGGTATGTGACTTTGAAATTATCACTTTAGTATTTTATGATCTGAAACTTCATTACATATAACTGACTGGGCTTGAAAGGCATGTCCATGCTGAGACATATTTTTCTGCAGATACTTATTCTGGAGCTTCTGCTTAAGGGACTATACTCAGTGTTCTGATTTTGGGAAAGAAATAGCACAGCGTGCTAAGTATATAGCTTTTTTTTTTTAAAGGCAAAGACAAGATCTTGATGAAAACGTTAAATAAATAAATGCCAGTTAAAACACACTTATAATTTTCTCTGTGCAATTTCACATATGAAAAAATACTACTGATTTCTGCACATCTGTCTGCATGTTTCACTTCTCAAAAATCTGCTAAAAATAATAATACTGATTAAATAAAAGGAAAATTGCTAATGAATTCAGTGCTTTGAGCCTATTAAAAACATTTAAATTTCTTGCAGCACAGCAGTGACTCAACATGGAAATGCTAATAGTGTAACTTACATAATAAAATATTAGTTTTTAATTGCTTAGTGACTCCTAGCAGAAATTGGAATGTGTTAATTACATTTTTTCAGGATACAGTCTGAAGGCAAGTTGCGAGAATGCGAAGAGCTTCTCACTGCACCATTATCTATGGCAAAGAAATATTACAGCTTTAAAATAAGCTGCACAATACTCATCTAACTCTTTCACATGAAAGCGTGTAAAAGCAAATCAGCAAATAAACTCTAAAAGTCATTTATAAGTATCCTTTCTCCTTTTACACACTGGATGTACAGTTTTTATTCATATCTTTGCACACCATTTGGAGCTTCTTTCCAGAAGAGTTGCATTGAGTCACATGACTATTTTGGATGCAATGTGTTAGCAGATAGAATCTTTGCATACTAACAATGATTTGTTCCTTGTTGCTTTTTTTTTTTTTTTTTACAGTGCTTGCTGCATGAAGCAGAATCAGATGTCAATTCCCTTGACAAGGGATGCCTCCAGTGTGATATTGAACTCCTGCAATGTTTGCAGCACACGGATCAAAGAATTCACAAGCGTATGATCTTTTATCAATGCTGTATCCTCATACATCTGAGCAGTGATGGGACAGTCTGCCAACAAAGCAATCCAATGGTGTAAGAGATGATCTCTGTAAGGGAAAGTTTTAGAAATCTAAAACAGGTATTAAATATTTTCTTCTTTTATAAAGAAAAATACTAAATTTTCCGTATTATCACTCCTTCTCAACTCATATTTGGTGATCACATACTGTACCTACTACCTAGATCTCTTATAGGCAACCTAATCTGAAGTCCTCCAGATTTTTTTGGGACTATAACTCCTGAATGTCCTGAATGTCAGCAATCATAGCTTTAACAAACAGCAATTGCATGTTGAAAGCAATCTGTGGACCTCATGCTGTTCTCTTCCTTGTGGCCTTCAGAGCTCCTACCAAAATTTTAAAGAAAAAGAAATGGATTTCTAAAATGTTTGGTTCATGAGTAAAACAGCTCTCTGAAAAAGGTGTATATAATAATTGAATAGGGTTATTGCCACAGTTTATGCAGGCCCTCCTCCCCCCCCCCAAAATATTAAAAGTAAAATGTGAGCCATGGATGAAAAAAGTTCCTTTTCTGAATGTTAAGACTGCTGAGACACAGAGCTGGAATGAGCAGGAAGAGATTCATCTTTGCAAAAAAAAAAAAAAAAAAAATCTTGCACAATAATTCTTTCCAGAACACTCAAATGATTACTCAAACATTATTTAATTTTTTCAAAGACCATGCCAATTTCTGTCTGTCTGTCTGTCTATCTATATCATCTTCAGGCCATGGAATTTTGGGTTGCAATCAATACTGGCAAATTGGAATACACAAATAGCTATTCACTGTGGGTTTTTACTCTGTTGTATGTAAAAACTACCTAGAGCTTAAGTGCTTGCAGTTTTCATTAATAGGAGTTAGTTCTCAATTTTTAAAAAATGTATTTACTTCTCTCGATAAACTGGAACAATAGTTCCAGATGCTAGCAGTTCTGTCAATGACTGGAACTGGATTCTAAAGATAACTATTAATGAAAGAATAAAAAGGATATTTTAATTCAGTTACAATCCCATTATAATAGTTTGAGGAGCTCAGTTACAATCCCTTTATTATAGCATAAGTTATGAAGATTAGAACTCATGATGACTATTCAAAAAACAAAAACTCTAAGATTTCTTGCTCCAACTCATTAATTTCCATTTCATATCTAGAGTTCCTTGTATTTTAATTCTTCATTACTCTTTAATAAGTCATTTTAATCTATAATTATGGGCATCTGTATGTGTATGTATATCTTCGTCTATTTCTTTTCCTAAACCAAATGGATTTTTTTTTCCAAAAAAACCCTCTTTGCAGAAAATAAACTGCTGATGATGATCACCGTCTATTTTTAAGTTTCTAAAAGCTGATTGACTAAGTGTGAAAATATTCTTTGTTTAAATAGCATGAACCTGGTCAGCAGAACAAGGAAACAAAATTAGCATGAAAGCTTTCTATCAGGCAGCTTATAGGCAAAGCAGAAGTCATGGAGTCATACCTGGCTCCAAGGCAAACTAACATCTGAAACTTGCCATCTTTCCCAATGTTTCTAGGAGTGTTGTTGATGGCTGTTACAAAGCGACAAAAACTCCTAGCCCTTTTCTGCCAGTTTTCTTCTGGGACCAGTTCATTCTGATCGAGAGCTTCATAAAATCCTTGTGCTTTTTCTGAAGGTAGAGACATAGAACAAAAAATGTTCATCTAACTATATCTAACCACAAGGTACTGATAGCAATTGAATTATTTTTGTGCTTCTAAATACAAACATATCAATTTTACTCTGATCACCTAATATCTATGAAGTAGTACAATATTGTTTTCAACTTTGTTATAATGAGTATTAGTAGATGAGAATATTCTTGTGTTTATTATAATGTATAAAAAACCCAAATACCACTACACTTTCAAATTTCAAATTTAACATTTCAAATTCAAGCAATTGATAAAACATCACTCATATTTTGCTCCGTACTCTTAACACCAAATATTATTTGATTACTTTCTTATATATTGCCCTCTCTCTTCAAATATATCTAGAATAATTGCTTCATTTCATTTTCTTATATTAAGAATAGGTATTAAAAGTTACTTCTAATACTAAACAGTGATTAACTCTATTGCAATAATCAATAATTCAAATTACACATGAGGCCCATTTAAGGAGACAAAGTAAGTATTGTAGGATTACATCTCCAAGCAAGCATTCTGTACTTACCTAGAAAATCCCAAATAAAAACATTTTTGAAGAGCCTAGGAGATTTAAATCCATGCTGAAACACTTGCTCAAGAGCTGAAACAAGTCCACCTTCTCCACAGAGCAAAAGTGTTAAACTTCCTCTCTGCCAATAGAAAATAAAACCAACAAATGTTTCATTTGTAAGATGCTAACATATCTATCTAGTCACAAACTACTATAGCCTTTAATAACTGACTGAACACTATACATGTTTGCCATAGGCTACCTATACTTCGTATTGATTCCACCTATTATACTGAAAAGGCTCAGGAATAAGGCTCCAGCAGAGATTGAAAATTTTTAATACAGATTGATTTTACTGATAAGGTAGCAGAATGAGAACTGAAGAATGGGTAACAGGGATAGGTCACCTGTAGCCTACAGTATATGCAGCCCCAGCCCCTTTTATTGAAATCAGTGGAGCATCCCCAGAATTGCATCACTGAATTTTCAGCATATAACATAAAAAAGGGACAAATAGGCAGATCACTACCAGGCACTTGCAACTGCAGGGAGAATAGTGGGCAAACTCTGTTTGCTATGGACGCCCACGCTAATGGGCATCACAGGACATGTCTACTATGACAAAATAGAGTGAAAGGGGAAAAGAGGTAGTAAAAGCCCTCAGATGAGAAGGTACTCCAAGACTGAGAATCAAGGGAAGTATTGTTGATCTAGATTTACACAAGTCAGATTCCAAGACTACCTCCCATTCCCACAATGTGGTTCACCTGGCCTCTTTTTATCAGATAATAATAATGTATTAAACTTGTATGCCGCCGGACTCCCAGTGACTCTGGGTGGCTCAAAACAATCAAAGAAATTACAATAAAAGAGATGTAAATTTATATTTTACCTCTGCTAATAATGCTAATAATGATTTTAAGTGCACTTCTATCAAGGAGGAAACTATTAACCCCCATTATGGCTATGAACAGTAAGCTTACCTCTTTCTCTGGCTTGTGGAAGTGTTTGACAATTCCATTCACTGCTTCTCCAATCGATTCTTGTATCTGACCTGTATTTAACTCTGTGAAAAAGGGGAAATATATATATATTTTAAAAAATCATTTGATGTCCAGTTTGTACATAGACAAGTCAAGATCTTTTAAAAGAAAGAATGGAGAAAATAATATCTCTCTTTTATGGCACTTTTCACAACTTACAGAGCAGCATACCAAAAATAATAATGCTATAATAAAAATAAACAGCCGCTTACACAAAACAAAGCTGAGAAACAGGAGCCATAAAACCAGCAAAAACATAAAGCAGTTATAAAATATATTGAACCAGCTGGATAACAGGATAGAAAACTAGCTTTGTAGCTTTGTCCTAGTTTTGAATCATAAGTCAGAAGAGGCCACTTTAACCTTAATGACAATTCCCTGCTCAGTGCAATGTCATGTGACCGCGACTTGCAACTTACTGCCGGCTTCCCCATTGACTTTGCTTGTCAGAAGCCAGTTGCGAAGGTCACAAATGGCAATCACATGACTGTGGGACGCTGCAATCACTGTAAATGCACGCCGGTTGCCAAGCCCCTGAATTGAGATCCCATGACTGTGGGGATGCTGCAGCCATCGTCAGTTCAAGAACTGGTCGTAAATCTACTATTTCAGCACCACTGTAAGTTTGAACGGTCTCTAAACAGGGTAGTCATTAACCTAGGATTACCTGTATATACTTGTGTGTGTATATACAAGTTAAAGCATCAAGATGCCCATATATGCAGCTACAATAGCCACCTTTTAAATAAAAATCCCCTTCATTCCACCCTGTTTCATTCCAATAACTTATATACCTCCCTGTACCAACAGTACTGAAATAACACAATAATTACAATCTTTGCCTAGCATTTATAAGACTGCAAGTTTGAAACCTGGCAGACTTTTTTTCTATTATTCTTTTTCTTTTCCTAAGCTAGTCATTCAGGATTTACAACAAGCTGGAATAATTTTCAAATTAAGGAGTGAAATGTTTGTGCTCCTCTATTAGAAATTTCCCATTCTAGATACATCAGTTTCGAAGCATAAACTATATTTATAGTACAGAGCCCCTACCAAAGAGAAAAAGGGGGGAATTTGAAATATTTACAAAATCAAGCTTATCTTTTTCACATTCTGATATTTTTTCAAATATTTACTGAAAATATGTTTAAGATACTCTTCCTAAAATATGTTTATTCTAATGTCTGCCTCAAGGTAAAATGCTAGAAGCATAAAAACAAAAATATGACACAATAAAATCATAAAACAATAAGACAACAACATCAATCAAAAGCATATAAACAGCAGAAGAAACTAAACAAAGTGCCATAATATCTGATCAAATAAGCTTTACTTGTACTGAAATTATAGCAGCACTGGTGCCAAGCAAATAATACAGTTTAGAAACTTCTGCTACTACAGAAAAAAAAATATTTTGTCTAATTCCTAAATAGTGAACTTTTTCTTGGAAAAGTAACTTCAAAAAGAGTGCTGTTCCTCCCACCCCAAAGATCCTAAAACAGGCACGTTGGTAGAGCTGCATGGAGAGGTTTAGGCGGCCTTGGACAAATTCTATGTTTCACTGATCCCTAAGTGATCAGAAGTTGACATATCCTCTACCTAGTACAAAGTTAAACATAGCATGTTTTCACAAGTTTGAATGCATGCAACCATATAGGGATAGATGTTCCTTCAGATTACTTGTATTTTGTCTAGTAATATAGGATTCTGGAGACCCTGCACAGAGCTGATGGGGTTACAAAGCAGGTATGTAGGAAAATGAGCTACAGCTACAGGTATTTGACAAATGATGTTTGAAAGAGAAGTGACTACACTTAACAGGCTGAGTGCAATCTTCATAAATTAAACAAGAAAACGTCTAACACGTTTATAAAATATCCAACTTGTAACCATTAATGTTTTCAGATTTATACGGTAGATTAATCACCTACAATGTTGTTATGTCTCTCTTTCCTTAGTCAGTAAATGAACCAATATACAGGTTGTATCACAGCAATATTTTTGAAGTCTCATGCATATTTGATTATATTGCTCAATTTAGTTTCAAATAGTATGAATTTGGGAATTATTTACTAGTGATAATTACAGAGAATATATCAGCAGTTGTGAGAATGGACAAGTGGGTCATGCAACAAAGTGCTGTACTACTGAGTCCCCTTGAGTATTCTATGCAATTGTTTGGGTAGTCCATTTCATTAATAGAAAATACCATGAGTGGAAGTAACTACAATCGCCCAGCTTACTTGGCTTGTTGTTTGGTGATATGGTGACAAATCTTCTGATCATGCTGGGGGACTGCTGCAATGGAGGGGTTCTGCACTGCCTTTCATCTACCTCAGTATGGGATGTCAGCAGTTCTCCCACTAGGATCCTTTCTAAACTGCCATCATCTACACCTTTTCCAAGCCATCTTCCACATGGAAACCTGAGAAAAAAATAAGGAAAAGAAAACACTGTAGTGCCCTTAGACTCATATTGTACTTTAAAAGACAGCACACAACTAACTTGGTTTTGCACTGTAAGTTGAGTGTGCTCCATGTGTAAATATTCCCAGTTGCTGTATAATTAAGCCAGCAGAAAAGTGTTCATGCACTTGGGGACAGTCAATTCTTGGAGTGCTGAGAGCAACAACTTACCATCTTGAGTTTCTAAAAGCCACAAAAGGCTATTTGATGATGCCATGTTTCCCCTGGAAGAGGCATGCCTGATTGTTTTTTCAGCTCTTTTTGTGGGGGAGGGAATAAGCAGAAGAGGGAAAGTTTCCAGAAGGAACCCTTAACTTAGACCACATTTTCACCAATAAACTTCAACTGAGCTACCATAATTTGGCTATTTTTTGGCTACATTTTGACAATGTAGCCTTGGGATACTGGGGGTTACAAATCAAGTATTGGGAGCTATTGGGTTGCCCATTGCCCATCTCTAACGTACCTGTTCCTGTCTCACAGGGACACATAGCCTTTCTACTGGAAATAAAACATTGAAGATTGTGGATTTAAATATACATATATTTTGAATGGACTACAGATGGAGTGTATTACAGTAGCTCAATTTGGGCTGTCAAATACTTATTTAAAAAGTCAGGATGTGTATCAGCTCCATTCTTGCAATTTTTGGCTTCCAATTTATGCAGAAGTCAATGCACAACTTTTTGTACAGGCATGACACTAATAGGAAGTTACAGTTAACCATGGTTATCTATTATATGTGAAGTAGAAAATTCCAAATAAATCAACTTGTAACATTTGCAGATTCTGCTAGTATAAGGTTATCATGGTTGATAAATACTTGAGGAGACACCCAATATCTTCTGTAAATATGGGATTATTATTTACAGCTGAACTTTATGCCATCTGTATGTTATTATATTTAATAATATTGCTAGATCATCTGCATTAGTAGATAATTTATTTTCATTAAATAAGAAAGTAAAATAATATCTATATGACTAGACAAGGTCTTCATTGTTTGAAAGAGTTACAGAAACAAGATGAGCCCACTATATTTATTGTATTACAAATGAGCTTTACTCATTCAATTCAATTCAATTCAGTAATTCAATAATTCAAATATAATTTTTTACAACATATAAGAAAGTTGAAAAGATGCTTACTTGTAAGTGTGACCTGTCACTTCATTTCTGACCATAACATATTCCACTAGCCACTTGGCATACAATCCAGAATTATCATGTCCTATTTGTACCGTAGTAAGTTTTCCCAAATTCTGACACTAAAGATTAGGAAAAATAAAAGATATTGGGTCAAAAAAAAACAGAGAGAGAGAAAAGAAAATGACTTCATTAGTATATAGATTATCATTAGAGGAAGGAAGATATAATTTGACTTTAGACAGGAATTGGAGGAGCAGAAAGACAGAGGACTGAGTTGTCCTCTGAAGATGCCGGCCACAGATGCTGGCGAAATGTTAGGAACCAACACTTCCAGAACATGGCCACACTGCCCGGAAGACCCACATCAGCCATCGTATTCTGGCCGTGAAAGCCTTCGACAATACATAGACTGAGTTAAAGTTTCAAACCCAATTCTGTTTTGCCCTGCAACTGGGAAGCAACAGAAATGCAAGGGAGAGAAGGCAGTTGACACTCTCAGATGAAGCTTGGGCTGCTAGGGTTAAAGAGATAGTAAGGTAGCTGCCATTTTCTCCCAGATGACCAGGAAGATACAACTGGCCTGGGATAGACATGGACAATGGGGGGCAATTTACCTTGATTGCTAGAAGAGTGATGCTGAGTTACACAGTAACCTCTGGCATCATCTGTGCTAAAAACAGTTGGGATTACAGAAAATGAAGGACAGCAGCCAGAGTTAAGGGCAGAGCATGTGTGAGTGGCAATGGCTGAGAACTTTTAGTGTTGAGAGCGAGCAATAGCAGGAATTTTCACTGCAGGGTGTACAGTCAGAGATTAAGCAGCTGCTATTGGAGAAATCAGCACTAGACAAGAGCTTTCCAGTTTGGGGGAGTGGAAACGAGATTATCAAGACTCCTCACTGTTGGATCCAAGAAGATTTGGAGGAGTTAGGTTAGAACTAGGAAGTTGGAGATCATACAGTATTTGGTGATCTAGCTCTCAGGGTAGAAATCTGAGAACTGTGTATAAGAAGTGAGGTAAGAGGACAGAGAGCTGAGCTCCCCTAACTGGATCAGGACTAAATGAAAGTGGACCTTGGGAGAGAACTCTGGTTTGGGGTTTTAGATGTTTTGGGAGGATGTTCTGAGGATGCTGTAAGTGTTGGTGGAGGGGTTAAATAGAGTGCTTTGATAGATTACTATACATCCAGTTTGGTTGATTGGTACATAGTGTTAATATGAAGGAAGTGGAGGGGGAAGCCTTGGAATACCAAATAAGGGTGTAAAGTTGGGGGTCTAAATTTCCACAATAATGGGTAGGAGGTAGGGGAAGTATAATGGTAAGAGATGGATTACCCATTATAGGAGAAGGGAGACTAAGAATTTGGTGGTCTCAATTTCTGGCCCAGCCCTTGCCCAGGGACTTTGAAGTCAGATTGCTGGGAATACTTGGTCTCACACTGCTGTTGGTTAATGCCAGGTCCATCCAAAATAACACCTTGTCTATCCACAATATGATGGTGATGAACAGATGGTACATGAAACTGTTTGGACAATGACGGGGATGTTGCCTAGTCAGAAATGAGTCCTGCTGGGTTTCTGATTCTGCAACAGCTTGGGCACCAAGGATGGGGAAGGTTGTAGCAGTGAGTGTTATGGACATCGTGGTGGTGACCACTCCAATGAGGCCTTGGTATGAATGCCTCTATGTTAAACTAAGCTGTGAGGACAAGTTAGGACTGCTGTTATTGAACTGGAAACTCTTGCTCAGTAGTATTCTTCCTGAGCTCCTGGATCTTATTATGGAGCTGATCATGGAACCTCCACATTGCTGGTGCTGATGAACTTCCACCTCCATTCCCTCAGGGTGAGATGCCTAAGATTTCATGGCTGCCATACAAACCATGGGCATGTCCAAAGTTATTTCATCCCTGACTTATAAAGGAGTTCATGTTTTCAACATAGTGTTGGAAACAGACTACGGAGCAGCTGATGCATAATTTGAAGATGAGGAATGCTGCCTTGTTGTGGTAGGATCACTTTCTGGTCAAGCTGCATATTACTGTCATTCCTGACCTCTGCAAGGCTGATGAATACATTCAGATAGTCTACTCAGATGTCTGATGAATTAGGAAGGTTTCCCAAGAGCACTTGGGGATTTTCCCAATGAACTGGTAAGCATTTCCATGTCAAGTCTATTAGTCATGGAATAGAGAGCTAACCAGGGTATTAGATGTGACTGTCCCCAAGTGGGCTCTCTCCAGTTGTTGATCCTGCATCCCCTTGAGTTTACTGAGGAGCTTCAGGAGATGAAACAAGTGAAGAGATGTCAAGTGTGAAGGTGATGAAAAGCAAACAGTGAACTTGACTGATAGATAGATACAAGCCATGTCAGGGCCTATACTGAGTCAATAAAAGCAGCAAAATATTCTTACTTCTCTGCTCTAAATGTGTTTGCAGCCCTGTACAGGTCAACATACTTTCTTTTGGACAATACTTCTGCTGATTATTGTGACATATAGTATTTGCAAAATTTTTTGCAGATAAAATCACGCATATTTGCTCAGAGCTGGATGCCATTTAGAATGTGAAAGGTGGGACAATATTTTACAGTGCAATTTGGAATTTGTTGAGCTTGAAGAGTCCAAGGAAGTGGACAGGGTTCTTTGTAGTATGAGCCCCATTATGCATCAATCAAGTAGCTCATTCTGAAAATTGATAAATGCTTCTTTGAGGGAAGGCATAGCATCACTGACCTTGTAAAAGGCTGTGGTGCTGATGTGGCTATGTTTGACACCTTTCACCTATTATCCAACCTTCCCCTTCTGGGGAGATTGTTGGAGAAAATGATAGAGAATCAGCTATAGAAGCTTCTTGCTGAAGCAGATTACCTGAACCTCTTCAACTTTTAGGTCAGGCTCAGGCATGGGATGAAAGCAACACTAATTGCTCGGATGGATGACTTTTATTGGGTCCTTGAGGTGGGGAGTAATACCTCTTCATCTTATTAGACCTCTCAGCAATTTTCAATATCATCAATTGTGGTATTTTACTGAACTGCTTGCTGGGAGTGGGTAGCACCATTTTATGGCAATTCAACTCTTAACTTAGTAAGTAGTTTCAACTGTAATGAGCAATCAAGGCCCTGGTTACTTCAGTGTGGGGTGGTACAGTGCTTGACTTCTCCCTGTTACTATTTCAAATCTATAATAAAACTTCTGAGAGAAATCATTCATTGTAGTCCTTGGTCATTGAAAATTATTTTTTAAAAAACAAAGCACAAGCCTTAGTAGCTGAAAGGTTGCCTTCTCCTGCTCAACAAGAGATACCTCAAATGTCATCTCCAGCATATTTCTTGGAATCTGCAGGATTCCTGTTTCACCCAATTCTCCTGAAATGCATATCCATGGGTTGGCTGTGAACATTGAGCCACCAAGTTTTTTGCTAGGAACAATCAATATATGGTATGGAATCACTGTAAAAAAGAAAAAAAAAACACATACACAACTGGGTAAAATAATTAAGTCTCCAAGAATAAATGCGGGGGGAGCCAGACTAAGCTGCTTCAGTAGAGTCCCCTACCTCTGAAATATATTTCCCCAGTGAGAAACATCTGGAGTTTATTTTATCACCTTTCATGTATTAATGCATTACACTTGTTATTTTTATGCTCCAACTGAACTCTTAAACCAATTATATCTACTGAACTTTTATTGTTTTATGTTCTAAATTTTATCAGTTAAAAATTAAGTAGTAATTTTAGAGTGTTACTCTATACCTACAAGCAGCCTTGTGAAATCTACTCTTGTAATCTTGCTGGGGATATTTTTGAAGAGTAACTTAGCAAATTTTGAAATACTTATGTACATATACTTATTAAACCTCACAGCCTTCAAATAAAAAAATATATTGCTTATCAAAGCTAGATTTAGTAAATGAAATCCTATAGATCATGAACAAGTTTTGAGATGGGTATAAAAACTCTTCTTCTTTGATCCTTTTTTACCTCGTCTCAGCCCAATACCAAAAATGAGCCAGATGGGGGGGAAAAAACAGCATATGGTGAAGTAAGATGGGGGAACAGGTTTTACTTCCAACCCTTAATATTATTTTAGTGTTTACTAAAGTCCTAGGTTTATACAAACCAGTTACAACTGTGTTTAGCAAATTTACATATCTGGTTTTGTTCTAGGTTTATAAGTGAGACAGCTTTAAAACTCTTTCAGAAGCATTGCTTCCAGGAAACCTATTTACATAGATACATAACAATTCTAAGTCAAAGGACAAAAGAAAATTGAATTTTTGATCCAAGTAAAAGCAGATACCCAAACTTGCACATACAAATACCTGTCTCCCAAAGACATTTATACCTACAAGCAGCCTTGTGAAATCTACTCTTCCAAAAACGCTTTCTCTATAAGACAACTGCATGTCCTATATCTACAATATTGCATCCTGAACTGACCAATTTTCATTTAAATATCCTTAAGCATTTTGATGGGTTTTTCCTTTTTTCACTTCTCACACCAAGTCATGATTTTTTGGAATAAATTTTGATGGAATATGAATATCTGCATAAGGAGAGAAAATGCTCTCTTTCCAGCCTACCAATGAAGGTCAATCGCGGTAGTTAAATAAATGACATCTTCTATCACATCTCAGAATAGATATAATTATAATCCCCATGACTTGAGAGATCAGAAGAGAGTTACAAAATTAGTAAAGCAAAATGAACATTTAAAGAGTATGTTGGAATTAATATTGCTTTGTGAATAATTGCTTATTTTTATTTTAAGATTTTACATAATTTTTAGAATCTGCATTTCATTTTCCTGTGACTTTTCTCCTAAGATTTTTATCTCTCTATAGTGGTATACATATACAAGTCACATGAAAATAGTACTCCATGCATCTGACAAAGTGGATTCTGCTCTACAAGTGCTTACTATAGCAAATTTGTTTAGATACCACAAGACAATTCGTAATTTTTCCAATAATAAAAGTTTATACTTACAAATTGTTGTAAAAACATTGGTGAAGCAGAAGTAATCCACAGCATTGAATGACAAGAGATGATAAAGAAACTGTTCTTTTTCATCATCACAACGGAGGAAAGCATAGCGCTTGTAGAGTTTTCTGACAAAGAAAATAAACACTCTATAATTATAATAGGAGTTTTCACGTAAAGTATTTCTTTCTGGAAAATGCACTGGCAATCAATATTATAACCAAAGGATTACTGTTTTAGTGTCTTTGTTCATACCCCATAAATGCTTTATATAAACTTGGATCCATTGTTATGTATATCTTTGTTCTATATCTTTGTTCTACAAAAAGAACCTAAACTTTCTTTTTAAGGGATGGAAACTATTTTGGAACCATGAAATCTTCAAATTCTAGTTTCTAGTACTACTCAGCAACTATTTGGAATATACAATGCGAGTGTATAAATGCTTTATTCAGATTTAAGAGTAGTTGTGTTTAATGGAATTAACACCAAAGGCATAAGATGCATAGATCGCAACCTCAAAAAATAGAAATGCCTTAGTTTTCTTTAAGCAAGATTGCAAATATACAAAGTAATAGAAAAAGAGAGCTGCAGATTGATTTACTCTCTTGGCTAAGCACATTTAAATTTAGTCTCTATTATCTGAAAAGTATGGGAGAACAAAGCAGCTGAAGACTAGTATTTATTTATTTAGTAGATTTAAATCCTGCCTTCACTCAGGAACTCAAGGTGATATACTCAGTGCTCCTTCCTCCTATTTTTCCCCAACATCAACAACCCTGTGAAGTAGGTTGGACTGAAAGTGACTGGGTCAAGGTCACCCACTGGGTTTTGTGGCTTAGGGTGTCCTAGAAGCTGGGTCTCCTGGTTCCTAGTCCTATTCTTAACCATAATCATATTCCTGCTCTGCCCTGATACAGTATGTCCCTTTCTGGAATATTTTCATTTTTTAAACAATAGTCAAATTAATCATTTTTCTTAGGTAAAACTATATCTCAGAAAATAATTTCATTTACTCCAAAACCAGAAAAAACGTTAAAAAGACTTTTTGTAATATTTCCCAAAATTTCCAAAGTTATTCTATGTCTGTTGATTTAGATAAAACACATGATAAAATTAATAGGCTTGTACATTTTGTGCAAGTATGAATTTTGCTTGCTGAATGCAATAAGGGTAGTATACGATAGAGGTAAAGCACGTGTTACAATAAATGAAATACTCAGAAAATGGTTCAACACCGAGCAGGGAGTAACATAGCAATGTGTGATGTTTCTTGGTTGTTTTATATTTTTACAGATAAATGTATAAGGAATAAGATGTATAAATCTGTGCTCTGCACACTTTAAAATATCGAAATGAGAGTTGCCTATGGTCAGGAGAAAGTTGAATGCAGTGGGAATGGATTATTAAAAAATGTGCATGGTAAAAGAAGAATTGGGATCAAGAATAAATGAGTGCTAAATGAATGTGGATTAAATACAAACTGAATAAACATAGAGATAAAGAAATATGTTGAAGTGATTTGGTCATATATAAAAAATGAATGAACACCAAGCTGCAAAACAAATATATGAAGGAAGGGAGAAAGGACCAAGGAATGTGAAGACCAAGAAGGACAAGGCTGGATAGAATTAATGAGATTGTCATGAAGAGACGTGAGAAGTTTAAAGAAGAGAAGACAAAGTATGAAAACAATGTATGGATATGGTGGAAGAAAAGATGACTTGCAAGGTTAAAACAGTATAGTGAATGGTTTGGTGTAAAAATAAACTATACAATGGTACCTCGGTTCACAAACTTAATTCGTTCCGTGACTCTGGTCGCGACCCGAATCAAATTTTCCCATAAGGTTCAATGTAAATACGGTTAATCCGTTCTGACCCCTCCGAATTTGGTCGCCAACTGATTTTGGTTGCGACCCGAATCAAATTTTCCCATAAGGTTCAATGTAAATACGGTTAATCCGTTCTGACCCCTCCGAATTTGGTCGCCAACTGATTTTGGTTGCGACCCGAATCAAATTTTCCCATAAGGTTCAATGTAAATACGGTTAATCCGTTCTGACCCCTCCGAATTTGGTCGCCAACTGATTTTGGTTGCGACCCGAATCAAATTTTCCCATAAGGTTCAATGTAATTATGGTTAATCTGTTCTGAACCATATATATATATTTTTTAAAACCACAAAAATATGACACACAGTACGAAGAGAGAGAACGCTAACCTTGCTCGACGCGACTTCTGGCATGGAGGACCGGAAGGCGGGTGGGGAGGCGGTTATTGCTTGGGGGGGGGGGCCCCCCCCC